TACCTGAGAACCATTAATCATATTAGTTGTGAAAAGATACAACCAATAGTTTGACTATGAATAAATACTATTTAAATCTTTATGCCATTCTTGACCATTTTCTAGAAATGTCAAAGACTCCAACCTCTCTTCTCAGGTTGTTGTTCTTCACTTCTTCACTTTCCCTTCAACTATATTCCCATATCTTTTCCTACTTTTAGGGTTCGGTGCTGGGTTTACAATCTCAATCAGATGATTAACAGACTGCTTTTGGGCTAAAACTGGTCTCTCAGCTGGTCCAGGATTCGAAATAGCCTGAGGGATATGAGGAAGTAGCTGCCATGTTCGTGCACTGACAAGTATTGGAGCTGGACCTTGGCAAGGTAACCAACCTTAAAATGATAATTGTGAACTTGGAAATGACATTATAATAGAATTATGAAAGTAAAAGTTCTTGTCTTTCTGGGAAGCAGAAACTGTCTGTATGATACTCTCCTGCTTCTCATGATCTTTACCTTTTGCTCACTCTACTTACTTATGACGTCTACACCACAGATTATTGGTTCTGTAGGTAACCCTAAACCTTAGCTACCCTTCCTCCCACCACAAATGTTGAATAAGGCGCGCGCCTTATTTATGGAATTCTGCGGTAGTCTAACTCCGTCGGTGATCCTACGGTATCGTTGCCGTGGGTAGGCTAGGTGCCATAACGTGTTCCCGTTCCCGATGCTTCGCAGCTTCTGCCTACTCTTTCGTTCTTTCATTCTTTCATTTTTGTCCCGCCCTGTTGTATGAGGACATCTGGCAATTTGGGATGTCCTAACGAAGGGGGTGCCTTACGTGGTCGTTCATCTCAGGCATTTGGTAAGGGATGAGACTTTGTAGACTTCCCTCCCTTAAGTTGGCTTGGGAACCATACAGGTCTGTGCCTGACTTTCATGGGTCGGGATTGCACTTCTAGGCCCCTTCGCTCGCCGATGAGCGGTGGGAGATGGTAATTTGATGGTAATTGGTTGGTCAAGCGTGTGATGGTGATGGAGTATCTATTTAGTTTTGGAAATGGATCGGTAGGGCAGAAAGGAACACATGTGCTTGGAGAGAGGCTCTCTGTAGGCTGACGTCGGCAGGGAGCATTATTTGGATAGAAAGGAAGGGGTTTTGACAAAAAAGACGTTTGGGAGGAAAAATTTTCCATCTGATCCTATGATATCGGATTTAGGGTACCGGTAGGGTGACCAAGAAAATTCGGGTCATTGAATCCCTTAACTTACACGATAAACAGCCATTTTCGGGGACTCACAGCTCGGCGATACCTGTGTAGGGGGGGGTTTTCGAGAAGCTGTAAGGATCGTGAGAACAGCTGTCTCTTCTTACAATGGAGGTATGGCTGCAAATCCGATGTCTCCTTGGCTGAAAACTGCACCCTGCATGTCCTCTGGTTCAGCTTGGCCCAAAGTGGAACCTCCCCGAACCCGTTGGGGGTGAGAAAATGGTCAATCTAGAAGGCAAAACGGCCATCAACTGGAGGTTTTTTTTTTTTTTTTCATTCCAGCACCCCACTGAATCGCATTAATTATTGGGATTTTTCTTTGTTATGGTATGAGCACACGAAACTTTTTGATATCATACATCCCAATAGCTATCATACCTTGCAACCCAACTTACCTGTTCCCTATCGGTTATGATGTGATATGGGCATGTCCACCACGAACGAGGGCGAGAGTCGTAACCCCCCCCTTCCCCCAATATGTTAAAAAGATCTGCGGTTACTGGGTATAATGACTACTACGGGGGGGCAAAAGATACGTTCACATTTTTTGCTATCATACTAAAAATGTGAATTACGGTAAACTAACCCAACCCCTCCACAAAGTTGAATGACGGGCATGATACCGTATCGTATCGGTACCGTATGACGCAGAAGGTATGCTTTGATCTTTCGTCGATCTTGCTTTTGATCTTGGTTTCTCGGCGCTTCGTATCTCTCTCCCCGCGTTTTGCCCAGCGTACTGGGACTCCACGAATTGTGCCTCCCACCTGTTTTATGATAGCGATTCCGGGTTGCGGAGCGAACATCATAGCCCATCATAACTTTTATATAGATTTATCATATCAAGATTTTCAGATGGTCAATCAAGGTCGCTTATCACACAACTGAACCAACCCTCGCAGACATGTTTTATGGAAAGGCATTTGGTTCGTCATTCAATGCGCGACGTAATTCGCTGAGATGGTCGCTCTTTTTGCTTGCTTGTTCGTTTCGTTCATTCGTTTCGGAGCAGACTTCCTGTCATATCGGGACGCTTTCAAAGAGGACTGTAGTAATTGCGTGCCACACACAACTCCAAGCACATACTCGAATACTCGAGTAGTAAAATAATTGTTGGCTACTTTGGCATGCGATAGACTATTGTAAAAGTTGAGGTTGAAAGCTGCACCAAGCCAACCATGGTCTAGCTCCCTCGATAAATTTCTCAGCAAGTTTAGTTAGATGTAGAGTTCTAAATGGTTGGAAAGTAAAAAAAAATACGGGGAAATTGTTTCACATACCGGTACGGGTGAATATTTGGTTCGGGTTTGCTTCAGTGGATCAGTTGCAGGTTGCATGAGGAGGGGGGCTTCCCACAAACCCGACTGATCCGAGCGAGTTGAAGCTTTTTGTCGGGAGTACCGGTATCCTCGTTGGATTTAGAGGTCGCCACTCACACAGTACGAGTACCGCTGGGTGGCACGGACGCGTACGACTCGGTTGACTTACGGGCGGATGGTTACCCCACGGGTCTTATAGCATCACATAATCAGGAAGATAAACCCGTACTTGCTTAGAAAGGTTAGTACGAGTGGACGGTCCACCAGCACCCCACTTGCCGTAAAAACTAGAACAATTGAGAATCTCGCTAGGGTCTGGGACGTTGGAGTTGCCTCTCTTGGTAAGGTCCGCTGCAGTTTTTCTTCCCTGACTTGTCTCAACTGAGCTGGGATTGAATATTTTTCGCAAGTGTTTTCTCCCCTGAATCCGGTGGGGGATATATCCTGGACTTTCCACAACGGCAGTGTCATTCTCAATTACCCCATCTGTTCCGGTGCATAAATTATCTGTGCGGGCACTCGACTTTCCAGACCTTGGTTGCTGTGGCTCGTAATATACACACCGGCGGTCCCTTCCCCCTGTGTTACTATTGTTTCCTTGAGCAGACCTGCTTACCGTATTCCCTTCCAGAAGGATCGCTAGATATCACGGGCATCATGCTTGAGTGGTGTGGTATTGTAAGCACTCACGAGACATTTCTCGTTAGAGATTTACCGGTGCTCCGTCCGTCGGTTCATACAAGTTCTCCGAGGCATATGCAGAGTGGAGCGGGGAGCTCCGGCGGGTTGGGAGACCTTCAATATGCTCATCACAAGTCTATCAATCAAATGGCGGGCGGGCCGTTAGAGAAAGGTAAGAGAAAGGAAAAAGGTCACTTGTGGGGTCAGATATCGATATCGGCAAGTTGATCCCCCACCTTCTCGATGTGGTACCCCACACTAGGAAAGTGCGTGATTTCCCTCACCTCCCTCACGCACTATCACCTGTTTTCTTCTCTGCTGGGTGCTGTAATCCTACCCTCTCACCTCAGCGAAAATTTCTCGCTCTTGCGCGATATGATATCGTACAGTAACTTTGGAGTCACCTGTCATGCTCTGATCTGGAAGTTGAAACCTTCTTGGATTTTTTTTCCTCATCTTCGTGGGTAGATGGGGGGAACGAGTTGGGTGGATGGATGAGTGGGTGGGTGCTAAGACCTTCCCTTGTGACCGTGCTGATTACCATACGAGAACTCGAGTAACTTAACTTACGGCGCTGTACGAGTACCGTACAGTACGGTACCCGTATGATACCGGTACTCGTGTCTCCACTCCGGCATCCTTTTTGGAACAGCTGCTACCGACTGGCCCATAGAAATAGAAAACAGGGGCCAATTTTTGGCTCGGGGGCACGAGAACGAGTGCACCGGCTTCTGCCCATTGGATAAGTTGAAACTCGGGATGGCGATCCGCAGGTGGCACTTCGGAGGTCGCCAGTCGCGTTTTTTTTTTTTCGGCTTGATTATTTTCTGATCCACCCAACCCAGCTTTTTTTTGCCAGCGACATTGAGACCCACGAGTTTAGTACGAGATCATGATGTGGACACCCTACCCCAAGTACTCGTACGAGTACACTCGGGCATCAGATGGTGATGGGTCATGAGAAACGTTTCAAGCTGTGCGTTGGCCACTCATTCATCAATCACCCACTCGCTGCTCGCTCGCCGGGCACATTGGTATGTTAAAAGGATGTGAAACTGAATGCTGGGATTTTCAGCTTTTGGTTACCTGGATTGCCGGGATGAGCATACCCATGTTGCTGTCGTAGACGAACGAACGGACAGATTGGGGTGGATTATCGCATGCCCATCTTTGTGTTTTACGCTTGAGAGCCAGGTTGTGCTCGTTGGCTGAATGATCTTCGGGTAATCATTGGATGGAGTGACAGTTATTTCGAGAATGCGGTTCAGCTCGTGCGGCGTAGTTTATATGTCTAAGACTACCGGTGATCCTCTACTGTAGTACCGGTATTGTATCATACAGGGGCCATGCAGACGGGCAAAACTTGGCAAAGGATAAACTTCCTCCTACACACCGCTACACATCTCACGGAACAGCCCAAGTCTGATGACTGTATACAACGCAGTAAAATGAATAAATGGAAGGAACACACACACCTCCGGCCTCTGGATGAAGAAATGGTGCTGCCTAGTTTTATTGCGAAAGTTCTGTGGAAAAAAAGAACTCCCCCGCCTCCGGGCTGGAGTTGGTTCTTCGGGGCACAGCTGCACGGGTATGGGGAACTGAGTTCAGCGCGGCTAAGTCAATGTCGGGTTAAATTAGAAAATCAAACGCCCTCTGGAATCTCCGCAGTACTGTAAAATGCGGCGGGACAGCGGCGGACTACGTATATACTCGGGCCGAAAAGCGCAGCAGGAAAGAACAGCAGCAAGTGAAAAATCACTATTTTTGAACTTGACTTTATTCCAGAGTGATGATTCGTGATCCGTGGCGCAATTTGAGGCGTTGTAATGCACTACCGGTAGACTAACAAGCCTCTCACTACTAAGATATCGTAATACTATACCTCTCACTTACTCGTGCTCTACTGTATCCTACCGGTGTTTTTTTTTTTGTGTGTGTGTGTGTCCTTTCCTTAGCGATCTGCCCCGTTGCAACGGTTAACCTTTTACAAAACACATCAATTGCTGCATCCCCCACCTTCCCCCCCCCCCTCTTACTACTCCCTCTAACTGCCCTATCGTACCAACTGCAGGGTACCGTACAGTTACATAACCGTCCATCTCTAGCACCCGGTATGCTAAAGGCTTCCATGGCAACGATGAAGTCCATGCCATCAGCTCTCAATTTTGAGCTTATCGCACGCTGTTCGGTACTTGTTCCTGTTCCACACATATTCTTCCCCGCACAGCCGGGTGCTCGTATAGCCTAGTGCTGTATTAATTCTTCTGCTTTTATGGGAGCGAATAGACTACCAAAGCACGAGCATCTATCTTGCGGCTTCCCCACGGCCCGGTGGAAACCCCGTTGTTCATGCCCGTCGCGACTCAAGGGACCCTGAAGGGATTAACCCCGGAGCAGTTGGAGAGCGTGGGGTGTAGGTTGTGCTTGAATAATACATATCATTTGGGACTTAGGCCCGGACAGACGGCTCTGGATCGGATTGGGGGTGCGCATAAGTTGCAGTCTTGGAGTCACAATATCCTGACGGGTGAGTTTCTGTCTGCCCAATTGAAGCTGTGTTTGATATTGTGTTTTTCCTATGTTCCTCTCAATGGGTTTTTATCTTCTGTGTGTAGTAGCTGATGGCTGGTGGGGAAATTCAAAATTGTAGATAGCGGTGGGTCTGTTTCATTTTTTCCTTTTCTCCGAAAAATCCTCTCTTGTAAGGGGGGTACGGGGCTCGGGAATTTGGCAGCTGATAAGAGGGAGATGTGGAGGATAAAGATTCCAAATGGTTTCCTTACTGCAATTAGCTACCGTTGCGGAACAGGGCGTCGAGTTCCTGTCCCCGCATGACGGGACTCCGATGCTGCTTACCCCCGAACATTCCATTTCCCTGCAGCACTCGATCGGATCGGATATAATCATGCAGCTGGACGATGTCATCGTTACCACCTCTCCGGACGAGCAGCGGATGAGGGAGGCTATGGATCGGTCAATACGGTGGCTGGATAGGTGTGTGGAGGAGCATCTGAAGGTGGACCCACTTGCCGGGACAGAGGGAATCGGTGGAGTCAAGGGGGATAGCTATGCGAAGAGGCAGAACTTGTTCTGCATAATTCAGGGTGGGCTGGATCTCGAAATGAGGAGGGAGTGCTGTGAGGAGATGGCCAAGAGGGGCACTCCTGGGATCGCTATCGGAGGTCTGTCCGGGGGCGAGGCTAAGGAGGAGTATTGCAAAGTGTATGAATTGCACAGCTTGCCTTGTGAATCCTTTGGCGGCTGATATTAGGGTTAGGGTTGACACTTGCACATCGCTTCTGCCTGACGGAAAGCCGAGATATGTCATGGGTGTGGTAGGGCCCGAGTTTCTGAGGCTTGTGGATGTGATGAGGCATTTCGCTCATAATCTGAATAGGGTTATCCAGAAGACCTCGTCGTGTCGGTAGCTCTTGGAGCGGATATGTTTGATTGTGTCTGGGGCACGAGGACTGCAGTAAGACGTTCCCACCCTCCCCCGCCCGGTCCGTCATTCATCGCTGTAACCTAACTTGGCGCTCAGCGTTTTGGCAACGCCATAACCTCTTCCGGAGTCCTCAACCTCCGCAGCGCCCTCTACGCAAAAGACTTTACGGCAGTCGATCCCGAGTGTCAATGCCTCGTCTGCCGTCCCCGAGACTCCCCTGCACCCCCACTTCTAAACTCAACCATTAACCCCCCATCATACGCTTCTGATCACGAGTGGGATGATAGTTACACAGGTAGAGGCCTTGGTATCACAAAAGCTTATATCCACCACCTTGTTGCCAAGGAGACTGCTGGAGCGCACCTTCTCACCATGCATAATGTAGCCTTCTTGCTGAGGCTGATGAACAAGGCTAGGGCTGCCATCGTTGAGGATAGGTATCCGGCATTTCTGAGAGAGTTCTTTTTCAAATGGCACGGTGGGGATAAAGGCAAGTATCCTACCTGGGCTGTAGATGCACTTAGGGGGGTTGGAGTGGATCTTTTGGAGGAATAAGGTGAGGTTTGAGTATTTTAATAGAATTTGAGAAGTGATAGTTGGAAGTAAGGTTTGGCGTGGGTAATTAGGAGGCTGTGTGCGAAATGGTTGTTTGTCAGAACATACTGAATAGTGTAAATCACTTTTGTATGCAAGGGAGATATTTGCTCAGCGTAGTCAACAAAATATATTGATTGATTGGTTTTTGTCCGTTGAATTTTCTTCTTTTTCCTTTTTCTTGTATGACACTTTGATTCTCGAAAGTTGGGATGGAGGTCGAGTACGAGTGAGATTTTGTGACACTCGCATTGGGAACCTTCGCAAAAGGCTTCTGCTGTTGGGGCACTACCTCTTGTGGATACATTTAGTAGGTTCACGCTAACGGTATTTACTTACCCATCCTTAGGCGCTCAATCTTTACGAGTATCTCGAGGTGGTTGTTCGTCATTGAGCCTTTGTGGTTCCTTGAGTACTGTATTTTCTCTTATGGGTTTTCGCTTAGTTCGGGCGCTGCTTAAGGTGGGACATTGTCTGGAATCTGAAATGGGCCCCTTCAATGCTACTAGTTAATATAGAAACCAAGAAATGGATTTTAGGTGTCTAGGACTTTACGGCTTGTGTACGGCATTTGTTTGATCACCATCCCACCTTAAGCAACGCCCGGTCTGGGCGAAAAACCATCACAAGAGAAAATACGGTACTCGGGTGTCCATTAAAGTCGCAATACATAACACCAGTCTCCATGAAGATGTGTATGGGGGGGTTAGGGGGTGGAGATAACATGTGCTAGATTTGTGGGGCTCTACTTTCTTTGTCTTCGGGTCACGAGTATTATCACGTGTTGATAAGGAAAATTCCTGATTATGATAGCTTCGATAAGGAAGGGGATGGTAGGAGATTACAAGTAGTTACCCTGTCTAGAATAAAAAAAAGTTAGCGAGTGAGCACCCCCTTGGCCCCACCATGACTCTACTCATTTCGTTAACATAAATCCTTCAATGAGCAACACTCTCCACTCATTGAGCGCCGTTCTCCCTGCGAAACCTTCACTTAAATTATTAACCTCTAATACCGCATTAGGCTCAATTCCGAGATGCCACCAAGGCGTGCCCCTAGCGCTGCCGCCGTAGCACCCGCAGCGAATGTGAGCACAGCAAGTACACAACCCAAGCCGAAGTCAACTGGAGCAAAAGTCGACGACGGCGACACCGAGGCTGCGGCAAAGCCCGTAGGGGACTCTTTCGATGAGTTGCTAAGGACGTATTACAAGGGCAAGCACTTGGCGGACTCGATCAGCACAGCTGAGGATAAATGGACCTTGTTGCCAATGTTCCTGAAGGTCAAGGGCTTGGTGAAGCAGCACATCGACTCGTTCAACTACTTTATAGACGTGGACCTGAAAAAGATCGTCAAGGCGAACGAGAGGGTGCTAAGCGACGCGGATCCGCAATTCTTCCTCCGCTACCTGGACATCCGGGTCGGCACGCCGGAGCGCTTGGACATCGAGAGCAATGCCGAGATTACGCCCAACGAGTGCCGGTTACGGGACCTCACGTATGCGGCGCCGATATTCGTCGATGTGGAATACAGCCGCGGGAAGCAGATCGTGCGGAAACGGGCGGTGAACATCGGACGGTTGCCCATCATGCTGCGCAGTAATAAGTGCGTGCTGAGCGGCAAGGGCGAGATGGATATGGCTAGGCTTAATGAATGTCCGCTGGATCCCGGGGGTTACTTTGTTGTCAATGGGACGGAGAAGGTCATCCTTGTGCAGGAGCAATTGAGCAAGAATCGTATCATCGTAGAGAACGATGCCAAGAAGGGCGTTGTTCAGGCTTCCGTTACTTCGTCTACGCATGAGCGAAAGTCTAAGACTTATATCATTTCGAAGAAGGGATGTATTTACCTGCGGCATAACTCGATTGTTGACGATATGCCGATTGTGTTGGTTCTGAAGGCCATGGGGGTCCAATCTGACCATGAGATATTGCTGCTGGTTGCTGGAACGGATATGGTTTACCAAGATACTTTCTCAATAAATTTTGAGGAATGCTCAAAGCTTAAGGTCTTTTCGCAACAGCAGGCGTTGGAATATCTGGGAGCTAGGGTCAGGAAACAGAGGTTTATCGGTCCCATGAAGCAACGGACGACGGTTCAGGAAGCTTTACAATGCCTAGCGGATATTGTTTTAGCACATGTCTACGTCGAGAATTTGAACTTTAGACCGAAGGCAATGTACCTTGCATTTATGACGAGGAGGGTGGTGATGGCTATGACTGATCCGTCCTTGGTGGATGATCGGGATTACGTTGGGAACAAGAGGCTTGAGCTGTGAGTACAGTGGACATATTTGTGACAATTTATATGCTAATGGGTTGTTTATCACTAGTGCTGGGCAGCTCTTGTCCCTTTTATTTGAGGATCTGTTCAAAAAATTTAACAGCGACATGAAACTCAACATTGATAAAGTGTTGAAAAAGCCGAACCGGACAGAGGAATTCGACGCAAGTACCCTGTTATATACAGGCGCGAACCTGATAACGCACGGCATGAACCGGGCAATATCGACTGGCAATTGGTCCCTAAAGCGTTTCAAGATGGAGCGTGCGGGTGTCACTCACGTGCTTAGTCGACTAAGTTACATATCCGCCCTAGGAATGATGACGAGAATATCCTCCCAGTTCGAGAAAACCAGGAAAGTTTCCGGTCCTCGAGCTCTCCAGCCGTCGCAGTTTGGGCTGTTATGCCCGTCTGACACGCCTGAGGGAGAAGCATGCGGTTTGGTAAAGAACTTGGCGCTAATGACGCATATAACCACGGACGATGAAGAGGAGCCAATCAAGAAACTAGTGTTTGCATTGGGTGCCGAAGACGCGACTATTCTTACTGGACATGAGCTTTATGCTCCAGGAGCTTACATCATTTTTATCAATGGTACTCTCCACGGACTTACTAGGTTTCCTATGAAGTTTCTACGATCTTTCCGGAATCTAAGAAGGAACGGGAAGGTTTCCGAGTTTATTAGTATATACGTTAATCACCATCACAACGGAGTTCATATCGCAACGGATGGTGGGCGTATTTGCAGGCCGCTGATCATTGTGGAGAACGGACGGTCAAAGGTTACCCCACGGTATCTCAAGGTATGTGCTTCATACCTATATTCCTGTTCTATAGCTTATGGCGATCTTGTTGCAGTCGCTGGCGGGTGGGCGTACAGCGTTTGAGGACTTCCTGAAGAAGGGTCTTGTCGAGTATGTCGACTGCAATGAGGAAAACGACGCATATATAGCTGTATACGAACAAGAGATCACCGAATCTACAACCCATATGGAGATAGAACCTTTTACCCTCCTCGGCGCGGTAGCCGGCTTGATCCCCTACCCGCATCATAACCAGTCACCCCGCAACACCTACCAATGCGCTATGGGTAAGCAAGCAATTGGGGCAATAGCGTACAACCAATTCCTACGAATAGACACTCTCCTCTACCTTATGGTCTACCCACAACAGCCCATGGTCAAGACAAGAACCATCGAACTAATCCAATACGACAAACTCCCAGCCGGCCAAAGTGCCATAGTAGCTGTAATGAGTTACTCAGGCTACGATATCGAAGATGCCTTGGTGCTGAACAAGGCCTCACTAGATCGCGGCTTCGGCCGCTGCCAGGTGTTCCGGAAGTACTCGACCACCCTGCGCAAATACCAGAACGGAGCCGCCGATCGAATCGGGGACATAAAGCGAGAGCTTAGCAAGGACCCCGAAAATCCAGATGAGCTGGTTCCTATCCGGAAGCACGCGGCCCTGCAAGCCGATGGCCTCGCCGCTGTCGGTGAGAAGATCTCCGCAGGAGAGGTGTATGTCAACAAGCAGACGCCCGTGAACACCTCCAACGCGCCGACATTACTTAGTGATGGCCCGCCACTGGACGAGTACAAAGATGCGCCCATGACATATAAGCTCCACGACCACGCTTACATCGATAAAGTCCTCGTGTCAACCTCAGAATCCGAGCAGACGCTGATTAAAGTGCTAACCCGCCAGACTCGACGACCAGAACTCGGGGATAAATTCTCCTCACGCCACGGGCAGAAGGGCGTTTGCGGGATCATTGCGCGGCAGGAGGACATGCCGTTCAGTGACACAGGAATCATCCCGGACATCATCATGAACCCCCACGGTTTCCCCTCCCGCATGACGGTGGGAAAAATGATTGAGTTGCTGGCCGGTAAAGCAGGTGTATTGGCCGGGAAACTGCAGTACGGGACGGCATTCGGCGGGAGTAAAGTCGATGACATGGCCAAGATATTGGTAGATAACGGATTCAGTTACTCCGGGAAGGACTTTGTCACTTCTGGTTTGTGAACCCCTTTCCCCCTATCTAGAATAGTAGTTCACAAATGACGAAATTAGGTATAACCGGCGAATCCCTTGAAGCATACATATTCTTCGGTCCAATCTACTACCAAAAGCTAAAACACATGGTTCAAGATAAAATGCATAGTAGAGCCCGTGGACCCCGCGCTGTAATTCCCCTCACCCCCCCCCTCCTTCCCCTCAAACTAACACCTTGTTAGATCCTAACCCGCCAACCAACCGAAGGCCGTTCTCGTGACGGTGGCCTCCGTCTCGGTGAAATGGAGCGCGACTGCCTGATAGCTTACGGTGCTTCCCAACTCCTCCTCGAAAGACTAATGCTCTCCTCTGACGTTCATGAAATCGACCTCTGCGAGGTGTGCGGCCTCATGGGCCACTCGAATTGGTGCACAACATGTCAGAGCTCCAAGGGCGTTGTAAAGATGAAGATACCGTATGCCGCTAAATTGCTTATCCAGGAGCTGCTCAGCATGAACGTGCTCGCTAGGATTAGATTGGAGGATGTATTCCCTTATGGGGAGGGGAAGTAGGTTGTTGATGGAAAGGGAGGGAGTGAGGGAGTATGTATTATATATATCCTGGTGTTAATACGGCGCATAGATGGACGGACGGACGGTTGGTAGGTACTGATGTGTGGTATGTGTTTTATATACCGCCAGCCCCATCGTTTGGGGTGATGATGGCAGACGCGGTGGGCGAATGCGGGATGATTAATGGGGCCTCCGAATGCTACGATAACAGTGTACGACTTGCGAGTGACCAGTTGCTGAGTCCATAGTAGTAGGAAATACGCTACGATAAGGAATTGAATACTCAAAACATTAACGAATGAGAACCGTGGCAGAAACGGACTACTGGTGCATGTATTTGTCCTCACGGACTGTACTGTACAGCTGAATTCGCAAAGTTCTCATACCCTTCCGAGTACCCCTGCCCTTGGAAACGCTTTTCTAACCCTCTCATTATTCGGCGGAACAAATTGTGTTAAAGATTTCGCAGTATCCCTAGAGGCATATTTAAGAACAGTCAATTTAAAGGATTTTCTTGTTCTCTTGTTGGCTGGCACAGTTCCCGAGACACAAGGAAGGGGTATGAGAACTTTACGAATGCGGCTGTACGTCCGACGTATCCGCACGAGTGACAATTTGTGAACGCGATCAATTCCAACGCGATCGCATAACGGATCTTCTCAAGGCCCCTCCAGTGACAGTTTATCGTTCTTACACTTCTCATACCGGTAACCCGCCCCGCTGGACAAATAATCCCACACAAGAAATATCAAATTTTAACCGCTACCACCGCCCATTGAAACTACAACCTCCCCTATTTAATCTAGTATACAAACGCAACCGCAAGTATCCATAGCGCCACCGACTCCTATGGATAATATACTGTAGAGCAGAAATACAACCTTCACATGAGAGGAGAAAATGTAAAAAAACAAAAACAAGAACTCCGGATTGAATTGTATGTCTCGAAACCAGTAATCGTGGTGGGAGGGCGAGAGAGCAATAGCAAAGTAACAAAGCACTATTCATCATTTACGTTGGAAAGCGAATTTACCAAACCCGTTTTGTGCAACCTCCCTAGAGGCGCTGGACCTCCTGACGCCGACAAAGTCTGGCCAGCTGTCGCCCTGACTCTCGCCGCTGCTATCGCCCAGGGGCTCTGTATGGGGTATCCGGCTGGAAGTAGGCTCAGGAGCTGAGAAGAGGCGTCTCGTCCCAGGAAGCCGGCCCTTGGTTTTGTCCCTTCTTTCTGTGAGAATACGAGATATTTTCGAGGCTGGGGCTGGGGGACCGGAGGTGAAGCCGTATTTACTCTTGAGGCCTAGGGCTACTTTGGAGATAGCTTCGTCCTCGGTCTGCGAGACTATGGGTTCATTGGCATTAAATGACTCGGGGGTAGGGAATGAACTAATTTTTTGACTTGATGAGCTTGATGAGCTTGATGAGCCCGACGAGCATGGCGTTTCCTGTTGCTCCGTCCTCTTGGTGGTAGGGCGCGCTTTGGTCCGAGGGCCCGGCATATCAGCTATCCGTGGCACTGGAGAAAACGACTGACGACTGACTCTCGAGAAGAAGGAACTTCGTTCTCCTGTCACATTAAAATCCTCCAGCACATTCTCGGGAAAAATCCGTGGCCTCTTAGCCGGCTCATCTGTCTTTACCTCAAACTGCGAGAATAGGCGCTTGTTTGTGGCTGGAGTTGATGGCTTCAGCTTTATCTGAGGTTCTGAACGAACAAGGTTGCCGGCTATTATATTGACAGACTTCTCTTGTAAAGGTGTTGTTGGTGGCTCCACCCGTGGTTCTAAGAATAATTAGTCCCCACACCTTCAAAACCTGAAATGGTCATTTACTGAAGAAATTTGAGATTGATGTAAAGCTTTGGGAAGTTTCAAGAACCCTCATCTTGGGTTTCATCCATGCCTGTTAAATTTGATTAGAAGGGGCGAAAAAAGAAAGGTAGCCCGGGAGTAGACTTACTGAGCGGATGGCACTCTCCACGATTGACTCTAATACAAAGGGCTTTTTTGTTACCGGATCTAAATCTCCACATGCGATTCCACGTGCTGTTTCGGCATCCAATTCTCTGTTTCTGTTAGAGACGGCGTGCAGTCAGAGATAGATAGAAGCAACCTACCTTCCACAACCATCAAGATATTGCTTGTCCACCACCGCGTCCGGTTCCGTAACCATCACCATCTTTTCAGCTTTGGGACAAAATACCCACTGGTGGAGGAAAGTCAAATTTGCCCGTCGAAAACCATCTAGGTAGTCTACAGGAACAGTTTTGGTCGCGTCAAATCGAACAGACTGGATTATCTAGAAACCTGAATTAGAAAGGTGGTTGAGGCTATAATCGTAATAAAAATTTACCCTCTCTGGTGTTTTATGTCTTTTGACTAGTTTGTATGCACCTAGCAGTCCAAGGCGAGGGATGTTAGGTAGGTAATCACATCCGCTCAGGATACACATATATCGGAACTCGGTGTCGGTCCAACCTGAAAGCGAGAAACCGGAGCCTCGAATAGCGGTGAAATCATCCCGATCAATTGTGTAGCAACCCCCGAATTTATCCATCTTAGTGATTAGGTTTTTACATCCAAAGGCTAGCAAATCTGAGTCCTCCGAAATAATGCCATGTATTATACCCGTCTTTTCTAGGTAATAAAGCTGCGCATCAGCTTCGTATGGGGCTACAATGCACTCCACACCAATCCGCCTGCATTCATCAATGAGGTGACGAGCCATGAGAGGTGTGACGTCGATAGATTTCTGTAGTTGCTCTTGGGCTTCCCTCATCTTCCGAAGCTTAAGGAGCTCCAATCCTTTGGCTCGACGTTCCTGTCGTCGCCTTTCTCTCTCTGCCTCGGTCCAGGATTTGCTGGGTAGATAGTCACCATCGAAAACCATGTAGGGTGTGACACCAAAGTGCCGAAGCATATGCACTCGACTCATTGCATATTCAACGTATCTAGAATAGCCATGGTTAGCTAAGGAGCAGCTATATGTTAGGATTTAAAGTGCCATACCCTCGGGTATGTTTCCCCTGAGCTAGTTCAATAGCGCATCCTATGACCCCCTTGTGGAGCCAGCTGTAGGCATCTATGCCAACGGTCGTCCCATTCCATTCTTTGATGTGATTCTTCCGTTGAATGGATCCAAGCCTGACAAGAAGGCCTAGAAAATGTCAATGGTGACCAAAAGATAGGAGAAAAGAAGTCAACATACCACTAATACCCATGATTACCCAGCAACCGGAAGTGAGAGAGGGGGAGGAGATTCTCGAACCGGGAGGGTGAGAGCGAGGAGGAGAAAGGAGAATGTTATGAGTAAGTGACTGGTTGAAAGTCGGGATACTTCCGGGACCTGGGACTGGCAACGACGCGGGAAGCAACGCGTCGGGTAGGATTTTGCTTGGGCGAGATCTCTCCTCCGATAAGGGAAATCTTATCTAGGAACGCATTAATCAAGTGAGCAAAAAAGTGTAAAGAAACGTTTGCGAGGTGCCCCCAACGATTTTCCTGGAATTATTTACTCGAGCATATTGTGCAATCCAGCCTCTCTTATATTATCACACTTGAATACCGGTACTGGTACTGTTATGTCGCTTGTTTACTCCGTGATATCTTAGATTTTGGGTTTTTTAAAGCGCACAGACTTAAAGCTGCCCTGCCGTGCCTGCCTAGTGGTGCGGCACAGTACTGTCCTGGAGGCTCTCAACAGAGGGTTGACACTGGCATTTCCGAGAGAGAAAATCAAACCCGAAAATTTACAACTCCACACTCCACCCACCCCACTACCCAAAAAGATGCCTGTCGCACTCGCAAAAGTTGCGAAAAAGATTCGAGCAAAGAAAGGAGGAAAGCTTGATCAATTGAGTGTCCGTCATACGAATAAGTTGAATAGGGCGACACAGAGGGAGGCAAAACTACGAAGACTTGAGGCTTCAAGGTCGAAGGCCCGGGAACCTGAACGTATGGCTTTTTTTTGGCGGTTGCCTTGAAGTGCCCCCACTAACCGCGTTGTTATTTTAGTGGTTCGAGTAGGCTATTTTAAAATAGCCACAAGAGATGCGATTGAGCCGCTGAGCATATCCCAAACCCGAGATCTTATTGAGCAGTAAGGTCATGCCTTGCAATTTTGCTCCTGGAGGCCTGACTAACGGTGCTTTCAGATGGGTCCATAGAAACGATGGGGAGCTATCTGGACTCCAGAAGGCACGCCGACCTGGAAGGTCGCCTTCTACAAAGGAGGACCTGTTGAAGCAGAACATTGCACGGGAGATTGAGGAGTTTCGAACGGGCTTTTATGTTCCTGATTTGCAGGACTGGGCTAATATTGAATGGCTGCAGAGGTGGGATGGAAGTGTGGGTGCTCTAGCACAGATTAGATTTAGGAGGATAGCGAGGGAAGACTCGGAAGACTCTCCAAACGCGGATTTATAGTCTCAATGCACTGTTTTGCAAGGAAATGCTGTGTATCTGCCAGTATGATACCGTAATGCACTTTAAATTTTGCAAAATTAAATTATCATAGGTTCCGGTCGTGGATTGAATGGTTACCCGGCCGCCGTGAAACTGGCTCCTGGGGCTCAACTGGAATTTCTTGAGACCCTCACCTCACCGCCCCCAAACCATCTTTTGTTCGCACAACTCGGCCCATCTTCATGGCTAAAAGAGTCCGCTCGGATTCCGTCAGTTCAGCTACGTCGCCATCCTGGACAATATTCACCCGTCCGGTTGATCAGGAAGACACGGTCAGCCAAGACCTATCCTCTAAATCTAGCTACTCCAAGCATGTCTGTCTCGATCCGCTTAGCAGTGAGCAGACACCTTCAATCAGCTGTTTTCTTCCACCAGGTTGCTCAGGGGAACCCTTCGCTTCTCACGAACAGTTTGAAACCCATTACATTCAAGCTCATTCAAACCGCTGTCATGAATGCGGTCGGAATTTTCCGTCTCTGAGGTTTTTGGATCTGCATATCGCTGAGAACCATGATCCACTAACGGAGCTTAAGCGTGAGCGTGGTGACAAGACCGTATGCATTGAGCCTCTGTCCTTCTTTTTAGCAGGATGAGAACTAATGCTACCCCTAGTATGCGTGCTTTGTAGAAGGGTGTAGTAGGTTATGTAGCTCCCCGCAAAAGAGACGAATGCATTTGATCGATAAACATCATTTCCCAAAGGTTTTTCCCATTCTCCCCTTATTCCAAGAGAAGTCCTGACGTAATATAGGAATACAACTGGAATATCGTTAAATGGGGCATAGACCAATGCACTTCCCTTCTTTCTCGAAAACGCTCGCTACCTCAAACCTTCACAGAAGGGGAAACTCTGACTGCTGGAGGGAGGGATAGGTTTCGTTCTGCCAATGTCCATAAGGGGGAGACGAAAAGGCCGCCAAAAGCTAATGGCAAGCCAGTAGCGGCGACTGGAGCTACCGTTGATGAGACATATCAGCAAGTGCAGAAAGGAGAAGGTTCAAAAAATATTCAAAAAGCGAAAAACGAGGAGATAGACATGGATGACATTGCATTCACAATGTCAAGTTTAAAAATTGTCCCTACAAGCATCAGGTTTGGCAGGCGAGGCGGGGGGCACAGAAGGTGAGGGAGTATCTTCAGCTTTCCTTCCTTTAGGGCATCATATCCCAATTTTGGGAACTGGGTTTGTTCTCTCGTAGTTGGTTTCATCAGTACTACCAATTGTCTTTTTTCTCCTCGCAGAGTATGGCGGCGTCCAGTTTTTCTGGAGTTGGTGTTTGTGGTATATATACTTCCCGTAAGCTCTTCTTTTATTAATACCAATCATTTTCTTTTGATATACTTGCTGACACTTGTCCAATCCTTGATTGAATTATTGAAGTTTCCTCTCGTTTTGCATATGGCATTCGTACGCCAGGAGCCGACTACTGGCCACCCACTGCTCTAGCTGAAAGTGCTTCTCTTCTGAGACTCAAAACTAATATAACCCTAAACCAAGCACTTTGGGAGCTCCGGATTTCTGGAATTATCCCCTAGGGCACCCCATACCAACGGCCGCAGCCGCTCCTATGATATGATACCATGCCTTCCGCGCAATGAGGTAAACTATGTTCAAAAAAGTAGGGCTCTTTGATCTGGGCCGGTCTTTCGAAATTCGGTAATCTTGGAGATATATGCTTTCGGACATCAATTTCACCCTTGTTATTTGAAAGCCTGTTTCTAGTAAGCTCTTGCGCACTACCGAATACCGTATGGAGAGGAAATTCCGATGCAAGACTTTTATATAGTACAGAACTTCGCAAAAAATAAATTCGTTGATAGAAAATAAAGTAAGATTAGCCTCTGCCGCGTCCCCGAGGAGTAAATCCTCCTCGGCCTCCACGGGAAGTGAATCCACTGCCACCGCGGCCACTTCCACGGCTAAAACCTCCACTCCCCCCTCCGCGACTGAATCCGCCTCCCCCACGCCCACCCCTTACCCCGCCACGAGGGGCACCCCGTCCACCTCTAGGAGCGCCACGGGCACCTCCTCGTCCTCCTCTTGCGGGCTTCGGTCCCTTGGGCCCCACGACCTTTGGTTTGGGCAAGAACCTACCACCCACCCCGATCAATTAGCCAACCCCGGTCAATCTAGCAGAACCCAGCCAACTCTCACCTCTCAAGCGGCAGCAACTTGTCGCCGCCAATATAGAACTTATCGCCCTCCTTGAAAGAACTGGCCACAATGCCTTCTTGTGGCTTGATAGTGAAGAAGACCTGATTTAGTGGGCCGAGGATCTCATCCACTTTTCCGATCTGAGACTTATTCTCGAGGTAGATTGGAGCGTTGAAGTAGGGGATCTTAGTATTGATAGATTGGCACACGATCTCGCCTTCGCAAGCGTGCATGAAGGAGCCCATCGCTGCCATCCGCATATAATCAATTCGGTTAGTTTTTTTCTCTTTTTCAGCGAACGCAAATTGAGACCTGGTGCAGAAAGAGAGGTGTGTATATGTACCAAGAACACTATCCGGGGGCCCCGTCGATCCCGAGAAACCCCCGCGACCACCTGCGATTGAATAAATGTATTAGCATCAAGTACTCTTCACAACTGCGACTCGCTCATCGGACATGTGTATGCATATGTATCGTACCTCGAAAGCCGAACCCACCCCTCCCACCACCCCTCGGTGTAAACCCGCCTCCGCCCCGACCACCCCCACGGAATCCTCCCCTGCCACTCATTTTGCCAATTTACGTTGCGTGCTAGAGGAATTGATCCTTTGCGTGTCGGTTGAGTTCTTTGGTTGGCTTAGTCGGCGGGCTTGGAGGTGGAACTAACTAGACTAACGGAAATTATTTCACTCGTCGTGTGGAAAAAAATGTACTAGTACAAACCCTAGGGTATACGCTTACAAAGCGTATTGCTAAGAACGTCCAGGGTTCGGAGGGTACCGTACCGATAACGGTAAGGGCTGGTGCTGTTCGCTGCGCACGGTGCAAAAGGTGCAACTTCCCGAAATAACATTAGCCTGGAAACCCACCTATTGCGGCTCTGCGGCAAGTCCGGAAACAGCAATCAAGCAAGCAAGCAACTTTGTTGGACAACCACCACTTTTCTATCGCTGTCCTTTCTCTCCCTTCCCAATTCAAATGTTTTGGGTGTCGAGGAGTCCCCTTTATTGTATGCCCCCAAGCCATCCTCGAAAACAAATAACAACTCTAGAACAAAGACAAAACGAAACGAAAATTAAGGGAAAATATGGCATCGCGCTCGACACATCACAGGTCTAAATCCGCGGACGTCCGTCGGGCTCTATTTCGCTCGTTGAGTCGGTCTACGGCTAATACCGGGATGGATAACACTTCTACTGCGTCCTCATCGGCTTCCTCTGGACTGGGGGGAGGTGGTGGGGAGGAAGATGACTCGGTGGGGGGTGTCAGTGGGAGTGAGAGTATCATTGTTAGGAAGTCGGACGGGACCCTTGACATTGAGGCCCCACCTGTGATTGGGATACATGAGCATTTGGGGCTACAGGAGATTGAGAGGGAATGTAGGGGGGATTCTTTTCTTCAAACTTTCTCCCCTTTCTTTTTTTTTGTGGAATGATTGAATGCTAATTCGACGTGTCCCATCGCGCGATAGTGGTTGAACAACACAGAGCTATCGGGAGACACAGTGCCGATACAACTAAGCGGCTACCAGGCATTTCGCCCCCCGACTCCCGCTCTCCGTGCTCTCCACTGATGTTTGTGCTTAGAGCTTCTACGAATGAAGGTCCTGTCGTTGCAACAGGATAACTGGATGTACGAGGCGGAGGATGAGGCATAGTTTCAGCCGGGGACCGAGGCGGGCTTTCCCTTTTAGTTTCACATTCTTATTCTTATGCATGGCGTTTGTTGTTATACCCCCCCCCGGTGCATTAGCAAGGTGTTTGGGTCAATTATACCATTAAAGTTTCAATTATCATTTTTGTATATTTTTTTATTGTGGCTGCTCTAGTCGAGGTCAACAAGCGGCTGTTGTTCGGGGGGTATTTGACGCGATTGCGGCACTGAATTGGGAGTTCCTCCGAACATACTACCCATCATGTCAAAGATGCTAGCAGGTCTCCTGATCTGAATTCCCAAGTAAATCTCCCCGATCTGTTCCAGTGGCTGCGAGAAGTTCAATGGTTAGTGTGTTGGCCGGAAGTTGAAGGGCAGGCAGTTCGCTAACCTCATTCCAGTGCGGTACCTCCATAAGGCTGTTGCTGTAATGAGACTTGAGATTGCGGAACATGTCTTGTCCGCCTGTCTGACAGGCCAAAAGGAGAAGGTTCAAGAAGTTCAAGAGTGGCAATGAGGGTACAACCTTGCAATCCACGGAAGCGGTTTGGACTTCCTGAACGGCGAGAGAGGAGTTGTTTTCGATCAACTTGCGTGTGAATGTCGTCAACAAGCGCGTAGCATCTCTTAGATTACCAATAAGCATATATGGGAGGACAGCCCGAGCTGCATAGATGGGGGCTGTATGGGGTTCGTCCTCAGTGTACCATTCGTACAGCATGTCGGCAAAGGTTTCTGCGCTCTCCTTTGTCCCGACGACTAGATGCTTCTCTGCCTCATATGTGTCGTCCTCTATTATGATAAAGATCAGTACTTTTAAGGCCTGCAATGAGAGGGGTCGGTGGTGCATATGCCTACCTTGAGCCAAGAGCTTCCCAATGAAGTGATGAAGCTCAGGATCGCCAGCTGGATATTCACCGTGCTTTGAAGACCACCTGTACCAACACAGGGTCAAGTCAGACATAAGTTATCCTACCTAATCGGCAGAGCAAAAATAGCAAATACTTCATGCGTACGCTATGGCTTCATTGATAAACCGTTTCCTACCAGGCTCTTCCGGAGGGATGAGACTTATCAGCTGTATCAACCTTGCTATATGTGCATTAAAAAAAAAAGGAAAAGAAAAAAATCAGTACCCGGAAGTCCAAACTGGCTAAATAGCAGCAGCCAATAAATAAATAACCAATGGGGGAAATGGTTTTCCAACGTACCTCGAGAGGTAGCAGATGGAGCGAGACTACCAGTCTTGTACACTCCAACCAACATCAAACACAAATCACACCCACTACTATTCTGACCAGCCTTCAAAAGAGCTTCCGCACCCGAGCAAAGGATATCGATGGCGGCGTCATAGTTGTGCGCTTTGATGTACCGCTGGGAGACGACTCGTAGCTGCTGGTGGGCTTCGTAGTAGGCGCCCTCCTCGATTCTGCGAGCACGGTTAGTATTAGGAAAATTTAAAAAATTAAAATACCAGATGGGCATGCTAGGGCAAAAAAAACCTCTTCTCTAATCTAGCTCTGGTTTTTTCAACGTTTTTGGACGCCATTGGGGAGGCTTTGCTGAGACAAGTTCTGGAGCTTTGTTTCGGGATGGTGGATTTCCCTGAAATTTGGTTTGGATACTCGAGTATGGTGGCGGGGTGAATGAGTTGGTCAGATTCAGGGGATCCCCATGTCGCTAGCTTACATAAGACACATCCAGCAGCTGACTTGAATTGGAATCACAGCTTTGCAGTACAGTACATTGATCTAATGACGATACGTCTCTAACACTTTTAAAATTAATAATGATAATAATAACAATAAATTCACCTGAATCTGGTTTATTTTTAAAGAAATATTCAGATTTTTGATGATTTATTGTGATTGTGTTTTTCTGCCTAGGAGTTTAGCGTCTTGCTGGTAACTTATTTATAATCGTTGCCTGTTTATTCTACTGGTATGGTGCCAGACAACTTGAAATCAACCAAAAACCAGCTCAAGAATGGCTTTCGAAAAATTTCAACCACAACCACACTAGGAAGATGAGGCTTCTTAGAAGTATCGCACTCAGGAGACACTCCTTTTTAATTATATACATTTTTTGATTTTCAATCAGAGCAATATTGGTGGAGGTCGCAAAATTTCGAATTGCTCATGCATGGTTTTTTTTTAGATGTTATCCTACTTTGCCAAGCCCCCTTTTTTTGTGTTTTTTATGTAAGCAAAAAATGAATTATGGCATCATACCGATGAGCATTAAATTATGCCGGTACGCAAGAGATCTAGAACATTGCACCACACTGAGGAAAGTATTTTACAATTACATGGAAAAACGTTTCCGTATACCGGTATATCCCGAACACAGCATTGCACCGAATATAATAGGGAGGTTCGAGGTTCTCAGTACACCTCAAACTGAGTTCACAACATACCGCACAAATACAGGTGTACAGTACTGTACGAGTACGGCTTTGAATGCCACCTGTACTCGTACAAACTGCCACTATGACAGGTGTATCGGCGGAATTTTCCATGCATTCTACTCGTAGGTGCAGAAAGGAATAGGATGGTCGGCACTGCTAGCATTAGTGTGAAAATTATTTTTCTTTTCACCTTTTTCTGCCTAGCATTAGGGACTAATTACTGTACCTCTGGGCCTGATATACTCCGTACCTGCTTGCCAAAATGTTTACCATGCATCGTATTTTCCGAGCAATAGTCTACACCTCTATCAAAACACCTGTACCTTCCATGTTCCTAGAAAATTGAACCTCCTCTATTAATAAGACAGTGTACCCTAGTGAGCCAACCCCTACGGTAGAGGAACAAACACGGAGCCTCGAAGCCTCGAGTAGACTTACCAATTTTGCTGCACTTGCGCTCGCGGGCTTTTGGCAATCTGTCTTTTGATTAATCCGCTGAATGATTATCGTACTCTTCTCATCCTCGAAGGGTCCTTTCTAGAATAAATCAAGCGCTGTTTCCTCTAAGCCGTTGAGCAGTGCAACCAGAGAGCAGTCGGACAGATGCGGATAAGATAAGATTCAAAATCCCTCAACGAACCGATAAGAAAAAACCACCCGCTGTGGGGCAAGTTTCTAAACCAAACACCCGCAAACACAAACCCCCAACGCCAGCAACTAAAGCCATGAAGATTCTTGTCGTCGGTTCTGGTGGCAGGGAGCACGCTTTGGCATGGAAACTCTCTCAGTCTCCCAAGGCAGAGGCAATCTACGTTGCTCCTGGTGGGTTCCCTTTTGTATGAGAACCTTAAATTGTGGGGATTCTGATGGCTTTTCCTTTAGGAAATGGAGGGACTGCTCGTGGAATAAAAAACGTTTCCAATATCGACATTGATGTAGGAAATTTTCCTGCATTGGTCGGGTTTGCTACGAAAAACGGTATAGACCTGGTCGTACCCGGGCCAGAGGCACCTCTAGTTGACGGAATTGAGGGCTATTTCCGTAAAGGTATTTCCTAGAACTTTGGTGTTATACTTGAGACTGCTTGTTTCTGACAGTTATTTGGAGAAAGTTGGTATCCCATGTTTTGGACCTTCAAAAGAAGCTGCCCGTATGGAGGGTTCGAAAGCCTTTTCCAAGGACTTTATGCGAAGACACAATATTCCCACTGCTGAATATCGTAACTTCGCTGTTTATGAGGAAGCCAAGGCATACCTCGAGAAAGTGGGCCATAGTGTTGTGATCAAAGCTTCCGGTCTGGCCGCAGGGAAGGGTGTTGTCATCCCAGCATCGAAAAGGGAAGCTTTGGCTGCGCTAAAGGAAATAATCGTAGACAAGGAGTTTGGAGCTGCAGGTGAGTCTATCCGGCGCCTCCCCTGTGTGTGGTTATTTCCCTAACAATCTGTAGGAGACGAGGTAGTCATTGAGGAATTTTTAGAGGGAGATGAGTTGAGTGTCTTGACATTTAGCGATGGTTACACTTTGGTATCGCTTCCGCCAGCCCAAGATCACAAGAGAATATTTGATGGTGACCAAGGTCCTAATACCGGTGGTATGGGATGCTATGCTCCAACCCGCATTGCCCCGCAATCTGTTATCGATCAGATCCACAAAACGATTTTACAGCCAACAATTGATGGAATGAGGCGTGAAGGATATCCTTTCAGGGGGGTGCTGTTTACCGGTCTGATGATGACCAAGAGTGGACCTAAAGTATTAGAGTATAATGTCAGATTCGGTGACCCAGAGACACAAACCCTTTTGCCCTTGATTAGTGAAGACACCGATTTTGCCGAAGTGCTGCTAGCTGCTGCGAACGGATATCTTGACGGGATAAAAATCAAGATCAACCCTGGCTTCGGAGCGACTGTTGTTGCTTCTGCGGGTGGATATCCTGGGCCTTACGCCAAAGGAAAGGAAATTAGACTGGATCCTGTTAAGAAAGGTTTGTCCTAAGAATTTCAAGTTGCCTGACTTAACTAACCTTCGTAGATACAAACGTATTCCATGCGGGAACTTTATTAAAGGATGGGAAAATTTACTCTAGTGGAGGGCGAGTGATAGCAGCTTCAGCAACCGCTGATACCCTGGAGGGTGCGGTCGGTAACGCTTATGATGGAATGGCGGCTATTGATTTCAGAGATATGTTTTACCGAAATGATATTGCTCATAGGTAGGCCTTCTCTTCCGTATCACTTTGATAACCAAAGTCAGCTAAAACCTTTCAAGAGCCTTTAAGCAGGTAGCGCCGACGGAATCTATGACTTATGCAGGCGCTGGTGTATCTATAGAAACTGGCAATGCCCTTGTCCAGAGAATCAAAAACGCTGTACGTTCAACAAGAACAGCTGGCACTGATGCAGAAATTGGTGGATTTGGTGGCCTTTATGATCTGAAAGCTGCTGGGTACGAGGATTCATTATTGGTTGCTGGAATCGATGGTGTTGGGACAAAACTCAAGATTGCCTGCGCCCTCAAAAAGCATCGCTCTGTGGGTAAGTAATATCAATCTCTATGTTAAGCTCGCTCTCTGACATCCTTCAGGTATCGACCTTGTAGCCATGAGTGTCAATGACCTCCTTGCACAGGGAGCAGCCCCACTATTCTTCCTTGATTACTATTCCACCGGCGAACTTGACGTCGAGCAAGCTGCCGAATTCATTGAAGGTGTTGCCGAAGGCTGCAGGCAAGCCAACTGCGCTCTTATTGGCGGCGAGACTGCTGAAATGCCCGGGATGTACGCACTAGGTGACTACGATGCCGCTGGTTGTGCAATTGGCGCCGTGAGGCGAGAAAATCTTTTACCGAAACTGAAGGACATGTCTGAGGGAGACCTTCTCGTGGGTGTCGCATCAAATGGGGCTCACTCTAACGGATACTCTCTGATCCGCAAGATTATCGAGAGGCACCTCCTAGACTTGAGCGCGCCTGCCCCATGGGATAGCTCCACTACAATCGGCGAGGAATTTCTGATCCCGACAAGGATTTATGTTAGGCCACTCTTGAAGCTGTCCAGTAAGGGTCTTATAAAAGGCATGGCACATATCACTGGTGGGGGTCTGACCGAAAATATCCCTCGTATGCTTCCCAATCACTTGACAGCAGAAGTCGATGTTTCGACATGGCCTCTGTCCCCGTTGTTCAAGTGGCTTAAGCAGGCTGGAGCTTTGGCTTCACTTGAGTTTGGGAGAACATGGAACACCGGCCTTGGTTTCGTGATTGTTGTGTCTGCGACAGAACAGGAGCAGGTCCTCGAAATGCTTAAGGCGGAGGGCGAGAACGCGTATGTCGTCGGAAAGCTGGTAGCTAGAGGCTCCTCTGAGGGATGCGTGTTGAAGAACGTGCGGAGCTGGGATTAGCTTGAGGGTTAAAGGTTTGCTTGCTTGATGTTAGATAGAAGCGATTGTTTTTAAATCCGGATTCCCGATACCTTTTGTCAATCATTAAATCTCACTCGGTGTGCTCATCTCGTATTGCTGGGACTGCCTACCCCCCACGCGCTGGGTTGAACAGAGCACTGAAGATCACTCGCTATCAAGTATTCTATTAAGAATGTTAATAGATTATTTTGGGGTATCTCATGATGACTACAGTATTTAGCTGCACAAAAGATGAAAAGATGATATTGGTATAAATACAATTTCTCTTATCCATTACAACCAATCTATTGCCAGCTATGTATAATAGCTCTCTCTTCTTGCTTACTCATTTATGATATTACATTCAAAGTTCTGGTACTTTGTATCATAAGGGTGTTGTTATGCGAAAAAAGTAACGTTGCGTTTTCTATGATCTAATTGTGCCAAGGTTGCAGTGCTCGGGCACTCATCCTGAGTGCCTGACAGCTCAATGAAAGATTGCAGCTCAACGATAGATTGTGGCCCAATACAATTTTGTGGCTCAACAACCTATTGTAGCTCAACATCAGTTTGCAGCTCTATACAATTTTGTAGCTCAAAGTCAGTTCAAGGATCAATGAGGGTCTATGGCTCAATGATAGTCTATGTTTCAATAATAGCCTATAGCTTAAAACTGCTTATAGCTTAATAGAATTTTGTAGTTCAATACTATTACTTTAAGACTTCATAAAAGTTGTAAGTATAAAGTATTTAAATAGATTAAGTTCCATGTAGTATCCCTTTAATAAATGAACTCCATCATCTCAACTTCAAACTCTTTCTATATATGAATCAGTTATGTCTTCTTCATCTGCTCTCATTCCTCCAAGTCAACGTGTGGAAGCATATCAAGATATTGAAGTACGGATCCAGGCCACAATTACCTTCCTCAATGAGATTGGCAAGGATACACACAATATTGCTACACTAGCTCACAAGTATGAAGTTTCAGAGCAGCGATTATGCAGAAGGTAGCAGGGTCAACAATCTAGACAAGAATGACCTGCAGCAAATCAAAAGCTCTCTGAGGATCAGGAACTAGCTGTTTGTTAATATCTAGATCGGTTGGATAATATCGGTACCAGTGCCTGATTGCCAATGGTCACAGGTTGTGTAAATACAATTCTACAAAATGCACATACTGGAATGCTTCCTACGCCTACTATAAGTGAACATTGGGCACGAAGATTCCTCAAATGTCATCCAGATTATTTTATTTGCAAGCAATGCTCAATTGACATTGATTGAAAAAATGCTCACCATCCTGATACCATTCATGAATAGTTTGATAAATACAATACTATATGTTAAAGGTATATGATTCATACCTGTGATTGATACAACTCTGACGAAACCAGTTTCCGTATTGGAATTGGTAGAAATCAAGGGATTATTACTCGAGATCCAAATAGACAAGCATATCTGGGCAGTTCAAGTAATCGTGAGCTCGTTTCTGTTTGTGAAACAATTAGTGCTGCTTGATTTGTACTGCCACCTATGATCATTATTCCAGGCATTATTTATCAGGAACTATGGTACACAACAACATTTATACTAGATAACTACCTTGTGGGCACATCAGATACTGGATACAATAATGATTATCTGATGATGGAGTGGGTATACTACTTTGAACAATTCTCCTCTCAACACCAAGCTGGTACCTATCGACTCCTCATTTTGGATGGGTTTGGCTCCTATTGTATTAAGGAGTTTCTTGACTACTGCGACCAGTATCATATTATTGTCTTCTGTCTTCCCCCACATTCGAGCCATCTTCTGCAACCTTTGGATGTTGTCGTATTTCAACCATATAAGCATTACCATGCTGAATCAGTTGAAGCAGCTACTCGAACTGGTTGTGAAGATTTCGATAAATGTGAATTTTTAGACAAAATTCACACAATCCGAGAACAAACCTTTAAGTCATTTACTATCATATCCACATTTTGTGTGACCGGACTTGTTTCCTATAATCCTGAAGTGGTAATTTCCAAATTACAGGAAGTGGCTATTCCAGTAGTCCAACCAGTTACCAAACCTTCTGAATTCTCTACAACTATTCCTCTTACGATTACTTCGCTCAAGAGAACAGGAGATGAGTTACAACAAGAAGCTGGTAATTTATCATCAATCTTCCAGAATAAATTAAAGAGAGTACTACAAGGTGGATTGGTTTAAGCCCAATCTGGGGCCTTAGCAATAAACTATTTAGAACACACACAGGCAGCTGAGCAGGTGAGAAATGCACAACGTAAGGTACAGAGTTGTAGACAGTTACAAAGAGGAGGAGTTATATACCCTTCACAAGCTTGGCAAATGGCTAAGAAAAGTGTAGATGCAGAGGTTGAGAAAGCAGAGATGCAATTGTGTAGAGCACATAATGCTAAGAGAAGGGGCCAGTAAGCTGAGTATAGAGTGTTTCAAATTGAGTTAAAGGCACAGGTAAAGTAAAGAAATTTGAGGCGTGTATGGAAAAAAAAAATATCCAAGATGATAGTTATTGGCATTAAACATCAGGTGAAACTGGGGAAAATCAATGTAATATAGAATATTAATTTACCTTCATGATAGGTATAGCATTACTCTGAAATTAGACCTAGAATGAAAAGTGACTTGAAGTTACAAAATTGTATAGAGCTGCAAACTGATGTTGAGCTACAATAGGTTGTTGAGCTACAAAATTGTATTGAGCCACAATCTATCGTTGAGCTGCAATCTTTCATTGAGCTATCAGGCACTCAGGATGAGTGCCCCCGAAAGCTGAGCTAGCGAAGTTTCGGGGGTTGTAGAGCCTGAGTGCTGCAACCTTGGCATGATTAGAGTTATTCTGGATTGAAGTTTGCATAGCAACAGGGTAAAACTTGAGAAAATGAGAAAATGAATTTTACAAGTAAATTTTATAATAGCACTCCAATCAGTAGTCCAACTGACCTTAAAATATGATAGAAAGATAATTTATAGAAATTCACTCATTCTAAGTAAGATTTATATGATACTCATATGGGACTTTTTTACTTAATAATAATAATATCATGCTGATAAGACTTGAAATCCCTACCTGAATCTTATTATAGAATAAGGCTTATCTAAATGCAAGTATTATTCAATTTGTAAACAATAAAGTATAATTTAGCCTTATTTTAAGTTTGACCATATGGACATCTGTTAGTAAAGTTATAATATTTTCTGTAAAGTTAATTAGCTCATAAGCTGTAATTAAGTAATTTTTTCATTGTATTAGCCTCTTACTTAACTGTAATTATTATAAGAGAATCTTTAACTTTCTGTTAATATTTTAATATTCTATAATAATTAAATCTAATATTAAAGATGCTTACTCAAAAGTTCTTTTTTCACTGTTTTTACAAGGTTTAGGTATATTTAAAACCATTATCTTCTTTAGACATAAGGATAAACTAGAATTTTAAGAAAAAACAAAATAGAACCTGTATAAATATAACAAAATTCGTAAAAGAAATATGGTAAAGAAATTTGATATTAGGGCCAGTTTACTAAACCATTGTAGTATGAAATTTGGGTAATAAAACTAGACAATTACAATAATTGTAAGATTCAATTTCTATAAGATTCATATATTACTTACAGGTTGTATTAAAGATATTCATAAAAGATAGGCTAATTACTAATAATATGCTCATATGAGATAAACTTCAATTATAGTTGTTGCATTTATTGAATATCATACAAAATTACAAAACTGACTTTAATAATAAGTCCTCCTCTTGAAATACTACAATAAATATTTTTCTAATAGATTTTAATCTCCTCTATCTATTTATACAATGAAAAAAAGAAGAAAAAAACCAATATTTTGAATTATTCACTTAAATAGCTTATTCAGAACCTAATTTTTAAGGCAAATCTTTTATAGAACCAGGACAGGGTACTCTATAATCTAAACAAGTTTCATATGGATTGAGAAACATTTATTGCATTTCGGGACAAGTACATTTTTAGAATAACAGCATACAGATACTGTTTTAATTAAGGTAAAATTACTTGAAAATTACTTTTGAATGCTATTATACAATCTTCAGGAAAACAGTTCCATAACAGGGATGATGAACAGAATATCAGTAAATTTCAAAATAATAGTTTGTCAGATTATACTTGTAATGAATTTTACCCAGTAATGGGTGACTTCCCAGTAATGGATCGCATATTTGAATTTTTGTGCTCAACTAAGAAGTAAGATTCAATAATCATATTTTAATCTAAGCTTCTGTAATTTATCATAGGTATAGAATTACAGTAGGCAATGACTATTATAATGACTATTACATTTAAATTTTTTTTTGAAAAGAAATGCCTTTGAAATCCAGCAGAGTGAGATTACATGAGGATATTTTAGGTCTCAGCTACTAGCAACATTGCCATACCACTTGTCAGGAAATAATTGATTGAATATCTGGTAGATCTGTAGGTGCAGCTACTGCTGGAGCTGGAAGTTGCAGAATTCAATTCGAGTAACTATTAATTATAGTGTTAGGAATACCAGAACCCGATACCTAGGAATGACCCTAAGTAGGGTAATCCTACTTGGAATCGGAATCCCTGGCCTCCAACACCCCCCTCCGGCTCCCTTACGGGGCCCGTGCGTCATCATATATATCAATCTCAGTTGCGTCCTGTGACTATATTACCACAGAATTGAAGGTGTTAGAATAACACCATATACATCGCCGCCGTCCGTCTGACCGGATCCGGTTCGCAGGATATATGAGAGGAGACCTTTGGCTAGGTCTGAGAAGTGCAATGGAGTGATTCCGTCAACTACTTAGAGAGTTACTTGGCTCCAAAGACATGATACCTTTGGCATGGGCAGTAAGTAATGGGACGATTTCGTACAAAGAGATAGTATCAAATGGTAAAGGATCTCTACTAGAGACCAATACAATTACATCTACCAGAAGAGTCTAGAACTCCAAAAGACACTACCAAAGAAGCCAACGAACTTCACAGAATGTTGCAACTGGGTTTCGGAACACGTCATAATCATGGGGTGATCCTCAATACTACAATGGTTACTGA